CTCCCCAATATTGTTCAACATAGTACTAGACATCCTTGCTGCAGCAATCAGATGACAAAAAGAAATGCATTCAAATTGGCAAAGAAGGAATCAAACTCTCTGTCTTTGCAGACAACATGATACTTTATGTGGAAAACCCAAAAGACTCCACCCCCAAATTGCTAGAACTCATACAGGAATTCGGCAACGTGGCAGGATACAAAATCAATGCACAGAAATCAGTTGCATTTCTATACACCAACAATGTGTCTGAAGAAAGAGAAATTAAGGAATTGATCCCATTTACAATTGCACCAAAACCCATAAGACACCTTGGAATAAACCTAACCAAAGCAGTAAAGGATATCTACTCTAGACACTACAGAACACTTATGAAAGAAATTGAGGAAGATACAAAGAGATGGAAAACCATTCCATGCTCATGGCTTGGAAGAATAAACATTGTTAAAATGTCTATGCTACCCATAGCAAGCTACATATTCAAAGCAATCCCTATCTAAATACCATCAACATTTTTCACAGAGCTAGAACAAACAACCTAAAATTTGTATAGGACCAGAAAAGACCCCAAATCGCCTGGGGAATGTTGAAAAAGAAAACCAAAGCTGGGGGCATCACAATGCCTGACTTCAAGCTATATTACAAAGTTGTGATCGTCAAGACAGCCTGGTACTGGCACAAAAAAAAGACACATAGATCAGTGGAACAGAATAGAGAGCCCAGAAATGGACCCTCAACTCTCTGGTCAACTAATTGCCGACAAAGTGGGAAAGAATATTTAATGGAAAAAAGACAGTTTCTTCAATAAATGGTGCTGGGAAAATAGGACAGCCACTTGCAGAATGAAACTGGACCATTTTCTGGGAGAAGATATTTGCAAATGACATTACAGATAAGGTCTGGTATCCAAGATCTATAAAGAACTTCTTAAACTCAACACCCAAGAAACAAATAATCCAGTCAAGAAATGGGCACAAGACATGAACAGACACTTTCAAAAGAAGACATACAAATGGCTAACAGACACATGAAAAAATGTTCCACATTACTTGCCATCAGGGAAAATACAAGTCAAAACCACAACGAGACCCACCTTACACCAGTTAGAATGGCTAAAATTAACAAGACAGGGAAGAACAAATTTTGGTGAAGATGTGGAGAAAGGGGAACCCTCTTACACTGTTGGTGGGAATGGAAGCTGGTGCAGCCACTCTGGAAAACAATACCGAGTTTCCTCAAGATGTTAAAATTAGAGCTACCCCATGACGCAGCAATTGCCCTACTGGGTATTTACCCCAAAGATACAGATGTAATGAAATGAAGGGCACCTGCAAGCTGCACCCCAATGTTCATAGCAAAAATGTCAATAATAACCAAACTGTGGAAGGAGCCGAGACGTCCTTCAATAGATGAATGGATAAAGAAAATGTGGTTCATATATACAATGGAATATTACTCAGCCATCAGAAAGGATGAATACCTACCATTTGCATCGACATGGATGGAACTGGAGGGTGTTACGCTAAGTGAAATAAATCAATCAGAGAAAGCCATTATCATATGGTTTCATTCATATCTGGAATATAAGGAATAGCACAGAGGATCATAGGGGAAGGGAGGGGAAACTGAATGGGAAGAAATCAGAGCGGGAGACAAACAATGAGAGACTCTGGACTCCGGGAAACAAATTGAGGGTTGCAGAAGGGAGGTAGTTGGGGGAATGGGGTGATGGGCATGAAGGAGGGCACATGATGTGATGAGCACCGGGTGTTATAAACAACTAATGAATCATTGAACACTACATCAAAACCTAATAATGTACTGTATGTTTGCTAATTGCACTTAATAAAAAACAAAACAAACAAAATAAAGCAAGAACTGGGGTTTGCCCTCAAGCAAAAAGCCATACAAGTGGGAAACTCACTGTGTCCCATTTCTTTTCTTTCTTTCTTTCTTTCCTTTTTTTTTTTTTTTTTTTTTTTACAAAAGCATTAACTCTTCTCCAGTATATAACTTCTTGTGCTGTTCTCCCATTATCTTTAGGTAGTTATTTTTTTCTACTTGGCTCAGAGTTTACAGTTTTTACCTGTAGGAGGGTTGCTCCAATAGGAAGTACTCAGCTATTACTAGAGGCAGAATCCCTTTCTTTTTCACTAATGCCTATAGGATCTGCGCTGATTTCTTTTCTCTCATTCCTGATATTGGTTAATTTGTGTCCCCCCCCACCTCTTTTTTTCATTGATCAGATCTTTAGCTAGACGTTTACTAATTTTATCTTTTAAAAGAAGCACATTTTCTATTCAAATAATTTCCAGAAGTATCTTTATTTCCTTTGTTCCTAGTTTTGTTTTTTTCCCCCTAATTTCTTAAAGTGGAAGCTTAAATAATTTAGATTTTCCTTTTTTCTAATATAGACATATAAAGCAATAATTTTTTCCTCTAAGCACCACTTGCACTGTGTTCTACACTTTTGGATATTTTTTTTTTTATTCAGTTCAACATATTTATCAGTTTCCTTGTGATTTCTTCTTTGACCCATAGTCTATTTAAAAATATGTTGTTTAGGGCACCTGGGTGGCTCAGTTGGTTAAGCGTCTGCCTTCAGCTCAGGTCATGATCCCAGGGTCCTGGGATAGAGCCCCACATCTGGCTCCCTGCTCAACGGGGAGCCTGCTTCTCCCTCAGTGCTTTCCCCTGTTCATGTTCTCTCTCTCTCTTTCAAAAAAGTAAAAAAACTTTAAAAAATAAAAAAAAAATGTTGTTTAATTTCAAAATATTTGGAGTTTTCCCTCATACCTTTCTGTTATTAACTTCTAATTTGTTATATATTATATATATTATAAATATAATTATGTTATTCTAATTTAATTATGTTATATAATTGTACTACAGTCATATACATATTGTGTGATTTTATTCTATGTAAATTTATTGAGATTTGTTTTATGAACCCAGGCACATACTTAATGGGAAAATTCTAGAGCTATCCCATTAAAAGTAGAATAAGACAAAGAAGCCTACTGTCTTCACTATTTATTAAATATTTTTATTGGAAATAACTAGCCAATACAATTAGATATGAGGAATTAGACGTATAAAATTTGGAAAGGATTGGGCGCCTGGGTGGCTCAGTTTGTTAGGCGACTGCCTTCGGCTCAGGTCATGATCCTGGAGTCCCGGGATCAAGTCCCGCATCGGGCTCCCTGCTCGGCAGGGAGTCTGCTTCTCCCGCTGACCCTCCTCCCTCTCAAGCTCTCTGTATCTCATTCTCTCTGTCTCAAATAAATAAATAAAATCTTTAAAAAAAAAATTTGGAAAGGATTAAGGTAAAACTTTATTTCAATGACATGATTGTAATCACAGAAAATCTAAAAGAATCAACTCCAAACAATAAAACAACTTAGTAAGGTAGTAGAATATTAATATGCAGAAAATGATACTTCCATGTAGAGGAACAACTGCCATATATAGTAACTCTATTCTGATTTGATAGTTCTAGGCAGCTGCTGAGAGATAGACTAGATATGCTGGCTTTGATCCTGTTGCTGTTGGTGCATTTCTCAAAGTAGCCATTTCACCACATAATATTACGCCTCATTGGCAGCACTATAGTAAACCCCTCCTCATCTCTCTACCTCCTACCCCTGCCCTGGCTCCTTGGAAGTTAAGAGGTAGCAAAACAGATCCTTTCCCTAAATATATAGGAAAGAGAGAGAAAGTATCACATAGGATACTTGTGGCTGTAAGAAGTAGAATTCCTGTCTCAAGCTGACTTAACAATAATAACTAATATTTTTGTGCGCTTACAACATCACCAGTGCTACCTAACCTCATTTAATCTTCATATAATCTCTATCAGAAAATAAGGAAACATTAGATATCCCCCCAAGAACTTCATTAACAGGGGAGCTCCAGGTTTGAAATGACATTAAACTTACTAGTCTGGTTATGGGACATACCAAATTTAGGTGACCCACCGATACTGAGACTACTTTTTGGAGGAAAGGTACTTGGACTTCAAACTTGACATTAAAAAAGTAAATGATGACAGTAATGGTGGTGATGATGATGTGGGAAAACAAAGGCAGAAGAAAAATTAATTTCCTTACTAGTTGCCCATTGACAAATCCTTGAAACAGGCAGAGTGACATTCCTCTAGGGACTCACCTCCCTGGATGTTGGCACTTTGCTAAGGGCAAAATGCAATCTTAGCCTGACCCCTAGGACCCTGTAAGTCTTCTATAACATAAAAATTCCTTTGGAAACTTCCTTTATCTTTACTCCCCAAGATACATGTTAGCAATCATCCCCCAAGCATATGACCCAGGGATACGCATCTGAATGGTCTCATGACTAAGGTTTTTTTTTTTTTTAAGATTTTATTTATTTATTTGACAGAGAGAGAGACAGTGAGAGAGGGAACACAAGCAGGGGGAGCGGGAGAGGGAGAAGCAGGCTTCCCGCTGAGCAGGGAGCCCGATGAGGGGCTCGATCCCAGGACCCCGGGATCATGACCTGAGCCGAAGGCAGACGCTTAACGACTGAGGCACCCAGGCACCCCGCCTAAGGTTTTATAAGACAGTAATAAATGTCCTTTTCCCAACAATAACTAACCCCCTCAAGGTCCTGGAAACCTTGTTTCCAAAATTCCTTAGAGACTATGCTATCCCTAACCCCTTCCCAACTTGAAGGTATATCATCACCACCCCTTACCGACCCCATTGCATCTTTCTGCCCGCAGGTCCCTGTCCGTGTACTTTAATAAAACCACCTTTTTGCACCAAAGACCTCTCAAGAATTCTTTCTTGGCTGTTGACTTCGAACTCTAACATCTTTCCTACATCAATGACAGCAGTGGAATGTTCAAAGTGAAAATAAGGGTAACTAACCCTTATTGATCACTTACAAAGTGCCAGACCCTACCTAAGTGCTTTACATCCTTACAACAAATGTAAGAGATTAATTCTGTTATTATTCATTTTACTACTTAACTCAGGTAATTTACATTTTTTTTTCCTTCTTACCCTCGCATTCCCCGGAGCACAGCAGGCATTTAAGAAGTATTTGGTGAATAAAAGGAAATTTAATGTTGCCAAATTTCTCAGCCGAATGGGGCAGGACGGACTTCAGAGCCAGAATGGGACTCGGATGGCGGGTGGTTTTAAGTCCTTGGAGGTCAGCCCAAGCGCCAGATCGCCCCCAGGAGCCATATAAGCCGCTGGTTTAAATTTCCTCGACTAGCGCTGCTGGACTGAGTTGTATGCTGGGGGCTACCGGGACGCAGAAAACAGAAAGAGGGGATCTGAGGAGACGACACCACTCCCGGTGCGAGTCCGGGCGTCCGGGAAGCTGGAGCCACCAACCCCACCTCCGCCAGGGACTCAGCCTGGGATGCGGGTTGGCTGGACCAGGGTCTGGAGCCGGGCGGCCGGCCGGTCCTGACGCTCTAGGCCCGCGAGGATGACGCACCGGAAGTCTCCACTGCTCTTCGCCGGCGTGCGGGCCTGCGGACTTTTCCCGCCCACTCTGCTGCCTCCGGGGGCAGAGCACGCGCGTTCCGTGGCTTGGTGCTCGGATCCCGGACAGGTTAGATTCCGCGTGGGTCCAAGCGCCCCGTCTCTTTTACGCTTGGAAATGTTTGTTCCCACAGTCTGGGCGGCTGCGTTTGCGCTCCGTGTGGGCCGCTGCCAGGGTAATGTCCTCAGGGATGACCTCCCGGCGGCTTGCGCCGCCGCGCGGTTGCGACCTCCCCGCTGGTCGCTCGGCGCCTGGGGGCCCTTGCTGGTCTCGGCGCCGGGGGCTGCTACAAGGTGCTTCCTCTGTCTCGGGCTTATGGGGCCGTGAGTAGCTGGCCGCGACCCTGCCCTGCGGTCCGTGTGGAGCGTTCCTAGGAGCACCTGTGGAGAGTTGGGAGCCCTCCCTGAGAGGTGGAACTGGGCACTTCGTTGATGGTCCTGAGTTACAACAGTGTGAGCAAGACCCTGCCGAGATGATGGTAGAAAAGAGTTTTCTGAGAAGTGGTCGTAGTGATTTTTGTCCCCATCACACTTGCACTCCGTACGGGGTCCTGACCATAGAGATGATTTTTGTTGTTGGGGACAGGACATACGTGCATGTGTGAATGTCAGTGCCTGTGTTGTGTATAGTATTAAAAATCCATAGGGGCGCCTGGGTGGCTCAGTCATTAAACGTCTGCCTTCAGCTCGGGTCATGATCCCAGGGTCCTGGGATCGAGCCCCGCATCGGGCTCCCTGCTCCGCGGGAAGCCTGCTTCTCCCTCTGCTTTTCTCTCTCGCTCTGTCTCTCATGAAATAAAAAAAAAAAAAAAAAAGAATAAACAGAGTGGATGGGGCGTCTGGGGGGCTCCGTCGTTAAGCGTCTGCCTTGGGCTCAGGTCATGATCCCAGGGTCCTGGGATCGAGCCCCGCATCGGGCTCCCTGCTCCGCGGGAAGCCTGCTTCTCCCTCTGCTTTTCTCTCTCGCTCTGTCTCTCATGAAATAAAAAAAAAAAAAAAAAGAATAAACAGAGTGGATGGGGCGTCTGGGGGGCTCCGTCGTTAAGCGTCTGCCTTCGGCTCAGGTCATGGTCCCAGGGTCCTGGGATCGAGCCCCGCATCGGGCTCCCTGCTCCGCGGGAAGCCTGCTTCTCCCTCTGCTTTTCTCTCTCGCTCTGTCTCTCATGAAATAAAAAAAAAAAAAAAAAAAGAATAAACAGAGTGGATGGGGCGTCTGGGGGGCTCCGTCGTTAAGCGTCTGCCTTCGGCTCAGGTCATGATCCCAGGGTCCTGGGATCAAGCCCCACATCAGGCTCCCTGCTCCGCGGGAAGCCTGCTTCTCCCTCTCCCACTCCCCCTGCTTGTGTTTCCTCTCTCACTCTGTCTCTCTGTCAAATAAATAAAATCTTTAAAAAAAAAATCCATAAAGATTCTTACATTTTAATACTTGCTTCTTGAATCTTTCTCATTCTTACCTGTGGGGTATTGCTCCACGTTTAAGGCATTTTATTGCTCTGTTTCACCTTTGTGTCGAAGTAAGGACTCTACTCAAACTTTGCACATACAAAGCACAGATCTGATTGGGTTATTCTCACGCTCAGAATCTTATTGGCCTTCCCGTTGATTCAGGATAATACAGATTCCTTAGCCTGGCTTCCAGACCGTTCAATGTCTTGCTAATGCTGAGTGATTAGTCAACCCCTTTCCTGGAAAACACCTACACACACAGGCCGAATGCTCCAGCAATGCCAACACGCGGTAATTTCATCACTTTGGATATGACAGAGTTTTACAATGGTTTACCTGCCTTTTGAAGCTTATTTTTCCGTTCTGTCAAAATTTATTGAATTCCTAATATTCCCAGGCACTGTTTTAGGAGCTTAGGGGTATATTAGAAAAAAAAAAAAAAAAAATCCTTGTAGAAAGTATCAGCTTAATTGAGATATAGTTCATATACCCTAGAGTTTACCCGTTTAAAATATACATTGATTTTTAGTGCATTCACAAAGTTGTGCAGCCATTTCTGCAAAACATTTTCATCACCCCCAAAAGAAGCTCTGTACCTATTAGGAGCCTTCTGATCTTTCCCCTACCCCACCCCACTCCTACCTCTATGCAACTGCTAATCTGTCTACATATATGCCTTTTCTGGACAATTCATATAAATGAAATTATGCAATATGTGGTCTTTTTTGATTGTTGTCTTTCACCTAACATTGGTGTTCATCCATGTCGTAGCTGGTATCAGTACTTCATTCCATTTTATTGCTAGATAGTATCTTACTGTATGGATATACGGCCATTTATTTATCCGTCGGTTAGCTGGTAGACGTTTGAGTTTTGGCCATTATGAATAATGCTGCTACGAACATTCACGTACAGGTTTTTGTGTGAACATCATTTTTTTTTTATTTTTTATTTTATTTATTAATTTACATTCAGTTAGCCAACATACAGTAACATTAGTTTTGATGTAGTGTTCAATGATTCCTTACCTATAACACCCAGTGCTCATCAGATCACGTGCCCTTAATGCCTGTCCCCCAGTTACCCCATCCCCCACCCACCTCCCTTTCCACAACCCTCAGTTTGTTTCTAGGAGTCCAGAGTCTCTCATGGTTTGTCTCCCTCTTTGTTTTCTTCCCATTCAGTTTTCCCTCCCTTCCCCTATGGCCCTCTGTGCTTCATGTTTTCATTTCTCTTGGGTATATACCTAAGATTAGAATCGCTGGGTAATAGAGTAATTCTGTTTCACATTTTGAGGAACTGCCAGACTGTTTTTCAAAGCAGCTATACCATGTTATATTCCCATCAGCAGTATATGAAGGTGCTGATTTCTTCGTATCGTTGCCAACACTTGTCATCACCTGTTTTTTATTTTAATTCTAGCCATCCTATGTGACGTGATGAGCACTGGGTGTTATATGTAACTGATAAATTATTGAATACTACATCTGAAATTAAGTATGTACTATATGTTGGCTAATTGAGTTTAAATTAAAAAAAATTCCAGTGGTTAAAAAAAAAAAATTCTAGCCATCCTAGTGGGTGTGAACTGTGTCTCGTTTTGATTTGCATTTCCTTGATGGCTAATGATGTTGAGCATCTTCTTATGTGCTGTGGGCCATTTGTATATACGCCTATTCATATCCTTTGTCCATTTTTAAAATTAGATTATCTTTTCATCATGGAATCCTAAGAGTTCCTTTTTTTTTAAGATTTTATTTTTACGTAATCTCTACAATGTGAGACTCAAACTCATAACCCAGAGATCAAGAGTTGCATGCTTCACTGACTGAGCCAGCCAGGTTCCCCTGTAAGAGTTCCTTTTATATTTGAGGTACAGGTCATTTATTAGGTATATGACAGTCTTGTGCATTATGATATAATTCCTTTAAATGAAAAGCACATGAGGTTAATTTTTACCGTTCTTGGAGACCAGGTTTATAGGTCTGTGGGGGTAATTCAGAGAGTCAGTTGAACAACAACTTTAATGTGTAGAAGACCAGGCCCAGGAAAACATGCTGTGAAGAACCTGTGAGCAGCATTTTAAGAGTTGAAAAATGAAGCAGGGGGAAACAGTTTATATAATTTGTCTATTCCTAACCGAGTTTTGTCTTTTCCTTATTGATTGATAGGAATTCTTTGTGTAGAGAATTGACTGTTCTCATTGACTGTTAAATATGTGGCAGGTATTTTTGGTCTGTTTGCCTGTTAACTTTGTTTTGTATCTTTTACTATACTAATGTTTTGCATTTTTCTGTTGTCAGGACTGTCAGTCTTTTCCTATAAAAGGCCTCCAGGTGGCAGTTTGGGATACTGTTCTTAAATTATAGGGATTATATAAACTGACACTAGTTAATGTGATGTCCCTGGTACTGTATTTAACTTTATAGCTTTCATTGTTTCAGACACTGGTGCCTCCCTATCTCTCTGCCTTGAAAAATACACTATAATCTACTTTAGCTTTGTTGGTTCATTTGATTTTATATTTCAAACATACTCCTAGAAGCTATTCCCATGTTCTCTTATTTAGATTTCTGATAGCCATATTGGACAGTTGGTCATCAAATAGTGGGTACTTACCTCATACTAGCAGAAGTTTATTTAAGGATTTTATGTATGCAGAGCTTGAATGTAACTATGCTGGTCCTATATTGATTGGGGCATGCTGGAGATAGTAGTTTTATAAAATCCTATTAAAATTATTTTCATATTTTTCTCATTTCATTGGATTAAAGGTAGTGGTAAAAAAGTATTTTTAGGATCTCTGAACATTTTGAGAAACTGAGGAAAGCTATATAACAAAGCTCCCTAGAAAAAGTTGCATCTCTATTTTACATACAATGTCCAAGGCTTCATTATTACCCTTTGGCCTGATTTGTTAGGAGGACTCTTATATTTCTTGACTCGGTGTTTGTTTGCCTCAGGTTTTTTTGTTTTTTTTTTTAATTATGGTAAAATATATATATCATGAAATCTAGCATTTTAAACATTTTTACATGTACAATTCAGTGACCTTGGGTACATTTATGTTATTGTGCAACCATCACCACCATCCTCTCCAGAACTTTTATCTTCCAAACTGAAACCCTGTTCTCATTAAATAGTAACTCCATATTGCCCCTCTCTCCAGTTGTTGGCAACCACCATCCAGTTTTTGTCTCTGAGTTTGACTATTCCAAGTACCTCATATAAGTGGAATCATACAGTATTTGTCCTTTTATATCTGGTTTATTTCATGTAGCATAATGTCTTTAAGGTTTATCCATGTTGTTGTATATTGCAGAATTTCCTTCCTTTTTAAGGTTGAATAATATCCCACTGTATATGTATATCACATTTTGTTTATCTACCTATTAGTTGATAGACATTTGGGTTGTTTCTATCTTTTGGCTTTTGTGAATAGTGGTGTTATGAGCATTGGTACACAGATATCTGTTTGTGTTCTTTTGGGTGTGTACCCAGAAGTGGAATTACTGGATCATAGAGTAATTCTCTGTTTAATTGTTTTGAGGAACTGCACATACATTTCAGTGTTTTTTGTCATTCACATAAAATATGAAATTTAAAAGAATGGAATAGGTCAGA